ATGCGGTTTGTTGACACAGTTCACTCGAGTACCATGAAACAGGGGAGTTGAAAACAGAGGCGTAGCGACCCCTCCAGGCGCCCGGGGCGAACATTCAGTTTGGCGCCCCCCTCCCATATATATATATATATATATATATATATATATATATATATATATATATATATATATATATATATATATGTGTGTGTGCGACAGTCTTGAAAAAAAATTATTTCGCTGTATGATTGTCGTTCCCTAAAACTTTGCTCGACGATAATTAAATTCCACTTAAGATGCATTATCCTTTAAAGATGATGATTAGTAATGTCAGAGAAAAAAATTGTAGCGGTGCTAAATCGTTTAGGACAGACTTTTTATATTTTATCTTTGGAACAGTCTCTGTTATGATATAGTATATATTTGGATTATAAGTTTGTTAGATTAAGGTCATACAAATTATTGTTCACATTGGAATACGATATGAGTATTTCTTTGACTGGTTGATTGTATAATGAAACACATTTCTTTTCTAAGTGTTAAAAGAGTTATCTAGTAACCGATCCAATACAAATCCTGCGATTTTTATTGGTGAAAAAGCGCCCCCCCCCCCCTCCCTCCCCACCATCTTGGACAAAAATGGTAGAGCGGATTTTAAACGTCACTAATTCTTATTTTTATGTTACACAATCGTAAAACACGCTTTAGTTCCAAGGTTCTTTTCTGAGTGATATGGGTTATTTATTCCTTAATTTTTCCGATTTTAGTCTTCGAAAAAGCGCCCCCCCCCCCATCTAGGAAAGCTGGAAGGCAGTTTTTCCGGTCACTGTTTCTTAAGGATATACCTTTTACAGTTACTTCATCAAGGTAGAAAACAGTTAAATCCGTATGCAAAGGCTCTCAGCCGTTAAATTTCTTTACTTTGACTGTTTATAATTCAAAACTGCAGCTTAAAATGAGCTTGTAAATTTTTTTTCCTACCCCTTTTGGCGCCCCCCTAGGGTCGGCGCCCGGGGCGGCCGCCCTCCCCTAGCTACGCCTCTGGTTGAAAAAAATAGAAAAGGTTTCTGCGGGAAAAAATTCACATTTCTTATTTGCGCTTGGATACATTTACATTTACGTTTGTTTATGTTCAAGTGTATGTACGTGTACATGCATATTTACGTTTGTTTATGTTCAAGTGTATGTACGTGTACATGCATATTTACGTTTGTTTATGTTCAAGTGTATGTACGTGTACATGCATATTTACGTTTGTTTATGTTCAAGTGTATGTACGTGTACATGCATATTTACGTTTGTTTATGTTCAAGTGTATGTACGTGTACATGCATATTTACGTTTGTTTATGTTCAAGTGTATGTATGTGTACATGCATATTTACGTTTGTTTATGTTCAAGTGTATGTACGTGTACATGCATATTTACGTTTGTTTATGTTCAAGTGTATGTACGTGTACATGCATATTTACGTTTGTTTATGTTCAAGTGTATGTATGTGTACATGCATATTTACGTTTGTTTATGTTCAAGTGTATGTACGTGTACATGCATATTTACGTTTGTTTATGTTCAAGTGTATGTACGTGTACATGCATATTTACGTTTGTTTATGTTCAAGTGTATGTATGTGTACATGCATATTTACGTTTGTTTATGTTCAAGTGTATGTACGTGTACATGCATATTTACGTTTGTTTATGTTCAAGTGTATGTACGTGTACATGCATATTTACGTTTGTTTATGTTCAAGTGTATGTATGTGTACATGCATATTTACGTTTGTTTATGTTCAAGTGTATGTACGTGTACATGCATATTTACGTTTGTTTATGTTCAAGTGTATGTACGTGTACATGCATATTTACGTTTGTTTATGTTCAAGTGTATGTATGTGTACATGCATATTTACGTTTGTTTATGTTCAAGTGTATGTACGTGTACATGCATATTTACGTTTGTTTATGTTCAAGTGTATGTATGTGTACATGCATATTTACGTTTGTTTATGTTCAAGTGTATGTATGTGTACATGCATATTTACGTTTATGCATATTTACGTTTGTGCATATTTACGTTTGTGCATATTTGCGTTTATGCATATTTACGTTTATGCATGGTCATGCTAACGTTCACGTTAGTGTTTATGTGCTTGTTTTTAAGGCATAGAAGTTCGGAGAGGGGTTGAGGTGAGGGTTTGGGTTTATGTGTGGTTTTTTTTTGTATTTGTGTTGTTTTTAGACATAGAAGTACGGGGAGGGGAGCGGGTTTACGTTTATGATTGAGGTTGTAGTGAGGGTTGGTTTATGTTTGTGGTTGGTTGTGGTTAAGGCTAGGTTTAGACATATGTTTATGGTTGGTTGTGGTTAAGGCTAGGTTTAGACATATGTTTATGGTATATATTCTCAAACGTCAATATTTGCATCTAGAAATTTAATTGGAAATTTAATATATTCCTAACTGCGGGCAGCGCTGGGTATATGATGCTTAATAAATACACAACTCACGCTCCTATACAGATAAGTTTTTTCTGCTGGTACACAACCTGGCAAGTTTCTAATAAAAGTTAGAATAATAAATTATTTTATATCAATATATTTCTAAGAAACATTACAATAACAAGATATTTTATATGTACTAAAAATAACTAATAAAATGACTTACTTTAAACTTTCAGTAATACAACACTCTATTATACTTAAAGAAAAGCGTCGGTCGCACATACAATTCTAGTAATGCTGTAATACAAGTAAAACCAAAAGACTTACCATGCTTTGAGAGAATTTCCAGACATGAGTGGACCCGCCTTTGCAACAACTCGTGGCTAGTGTCCGCCATCATGACAAATGTACTCAATGAACCCACATTAGCAATCAGGTCCAGGTAAGGGGCTGGGGATGAGAGCAGAGTCCAGGCATCCAATCAAATGGAATTTATAGAGAAAATATATACTTTTAACAGTGTCATCCCCCCCCCCAAATAAATAAATTCAAGTGCCCTCCTCCGGAGAGAAAAGTCTGAAAGAAACACTGGATAAGAGGAGTGGATACGGATGTGAGTGAAGACGGGTCTGTGTGAGTGAAGACGGGTCTGTGTGAGTGAAGACGGGTCTGTGTGAGTGAAGACAGGTCTGTGTGAGTGAAGACGGGTCTGTGTGAGTGAAGACGGATGCGAGTGAGTGAAGACGGGTCTGTGTGAGTGAAGACGGGTCTGTGTGAGTGAAGACGGGTCTGTGTGAGTGAAGACGGATGCGAGTGAGTGAAGACGGGTCTGTGTGAGTGAAGACGGGTCTGTGTGAGTGAAGACGGGTCTGTGTGAGTGAAGACGGGTCTGTGTGAGTGAAGACGGATGCGAGTGAGTGAAGACGGGTCTGTGTGAGTGAAGACGGGTCTGTGTGAGTGAAGACGGGTCTGTGTGAGTGAAGACGGGTCTGTGTGAGTGAAGACGGGTCTGTGTGAGTGAAGACGGATGCGAGTGAGTGAAGACGGGTCTGTGTGAGTGAAGACGGGTCTGTGTGAGTGAAGACGGGTCTGTGTGAGTGAAGACGGGTCTGTGTGAGTGAAGACAGGTCTGTGTGAGTGAAGACGGGTCTGTGTGAGTGAAGACGGATGCGAGTGAGTGAAGACGGGTCTGTGTGAGTGAAGACGGGTCTGTGTGAGTGAAGACGGGTCTGTGTGAGTGAAGACGGATGCGAGTGAGTGAAGACGGGTCTGTGTGAGTGAAGACGGGTCTGTGTGAGTGAAGACGGGTCTGTGTGAGTGAAGACGGGTCTGTGTGAGTGAAGACGGATGCGAGTGAGTGAAGACGGGTCTGTGTGAGTGAAGACGGGTCTGTGTGAGTGAAGACGGGTCTGTGTGAGTGAAGACGGGTCTGTGTGAGTGAAGACGGGTCTGTGTGAGTGAAGACGGATGCGAGTGAGTGAAGACGGGTCTGTGTGAGTGAAGACGGGTCTGTGTGAGTGAAGACGGGTCTGTGTGAGTGAAGACGGGTCTGTGTGAGTGAAGACGGGTCTGTGTGAGTGAAGACGGATGCGAGTGAGTGAAGACGGGTCTGTGTGAGTGAAGGGCCGGTCACGTGGTTTACCATGCATGCCCATGAGTACAAGAATGTTGAGCACCACAGCCTGTGTGTGGGGTGGGCAGCTGGTCAGCATGTCCAGCAGGATAGGGAAGAGGCCAGCCGAGGCGTACTCACTACATTTGTGGGAGAAACACGAGTGAAAAACTTTGACTGAAATAACAAGTTTGTTTAGGAGATGCATTAGATAATCATTCAGTGATGTTTAGATGTAATAGATAAACATTCAATGATGTATAGACGCATTAGATAAACATTCAGTGATGTTTAGATGCATTAGATAAACATTCAGTGATGTTTAGATGCATTAGAGTTGCGGCGCCCTAAAAGTGTGTGATTTGGCGCGCCGGTGCCTGCATGGGCACTATTATTCCTACGTTCGTTATAAAGAGTTATGTTAGACGATGGATGCGACGGGCCATTATAATAAGGCGCGTCCTTCCTGCTCCCCGTCTGGGTGTAATCCCCCCCCCCCACCCCGGTTTAAATGTGAATAATATAGCGCCTACGTTCATTTTAAGAAGGGCCATACTGTAAGGATAAGGTGGGCTACTATAATCGTTGTCTAAATCGAATCAGGCATGTCCGGTGGTTGGGTGACCTGCAGCGCCCCGGGGCAACTGGCTAGCACTATGGCGCCTACATTCGTTTTAAAGAGCACCCTACAATAGGGACACGGTTGACACGGCCTTCATTGATGTTGTGTAAACGGTGGCTCACAGGAGCACCACACAAAGCCTCTGACACCCAGGCGGTCGCTGTGTTCTCCCTCAACATTACGGAGGGTGGCTACGTACACTGAAAGCTTTCATGCATCACGCCTTTGGACGTGTGAGCATCATCAGCTCTGGTCAAAGAAACAACCTAGTGTCTGCTTTGTTGGCATTTAAAGATCTCAGTTTTAAAAACGAGGCTATTCGTCTAAAAATACATGATTGGTAACGCATGGATAAAAATCATCTTAAAATATTGCTTCAATTTTGGTTCTGAGACCACAGCCTGAGGCGTAGCGGGGGGGGGGGGGGGGGGGCGGGGGTGTGGACCGCACCGGGTGACACCATTTAGGGGGGTGACACCAAGGCAAAAAAAAAATAGCAAAATATATAGAGAAAAACTTGAGGGGGGGGGGCAAATCGAAAATTTGAAAGTTTGTCCCCGGGAGGGGTCGCTAAGCTTCTGGGGGGTGACACCATTAAATGCCGCACCGGGTGACACCCGACCTCGCTACGCCACTGACCACAGCAATGCGTAGGCGGGTTGCAATTTTGCTAGATAAACAAAACAAACTCTTGTCTTATTCTTATTTCGCATTTTTTTAATTTTAAACTTTTGTTTATAATTAGAAGGGCTCAGTGGAAAAAGTACTTAAGTTACATTTTTTTTTAAATGAGTTAAGACCGGTATATTATTTGATTACCTCTCCTTAACCATCCCTGTAAATTTGGGCAATGGAGAAAGTACCGAAGTAGCTTAATTCGAATACTATACATCAGCTGTTTTGGTATTTCAGCTTCAATTTAAAAACTTTGCACTCATTTTTCTCAAAACTCTCAAAATACACTTAACATATATATAGGCCTATATATAGGCCTACACAATAGTGTTGATATTCTCAACGAGTAAAACTGCTATACGCCATTGGTTGTACACAATTTGAAGAGAACTTACGCGTCCTGAGATAGAGTTGTATCGAGAGTAGCATCCCTTCCCGCACCTCCACATAGCCTGACTGTAGAAGATGTGTACAAATGCGAGCAAAAGCCCCGTACATCTGGCTACTTGTGTACATTGCTGGTTCAACATTTTAATTTCATTACAGCTTTTATGTAGAACATGATACTGAGATATGGCACACATTTATATCATGTGATACTAGACATACATACAACATACATTTATATTATGCTATAATAGACATGACAACATACATTTATATTATGCTATAATAGACATGATAACATCCATTTATATCAAGCGATACTAGACATGACAACATCCATTTATATCGTGCGATACTAGATATACAACATACATTTATATCACGTGATACTAGATGTATAAATATAACACAGTTAAATCACGTGCAGTGGCGTCGCAGTGTCACAATCTAGTTGTCAGACACGGTCACGGTGTCATAGGTTGGCTCAAAACCTGTCTAGTCACACGGTGTCATAGGTTGGCTCAAAACCTGTCTAGCCCAGTGAACTACTGACCTTTATTTTTGGCGATAGACTCCATGCACAGTCTGGTTGCCAGGAAGACCAAATATTTTTTCCCGCTGTAGGCCAACGTGGCAAGGTGATCCTCCATGACACTCCACGTGACCTTGGCAGTAAGGAAACGGCTGTCTGCAAACATTGGTCACGTGATTGCTGTTGTTGTTTGTGTGGAACTTGTGTGGTTTATATGAGTGTGCTGTTTAGGCAGTGGCGTAGGCAGGGGGGGGTTAGGGGGGGTCATAACCCCCCCCATAGACCCCTCGGTATATATAAAAAGTATGAGGGGGGGGTGCAAATCGAAAGTTTGAGGGGGGGGTGCAAATCGAAAGTTTGAGGGGGGGGGTGCAAATCGAAAGTTTGAGGGGGGGTGCAAATCGAAAGTTTGAGGGGGGGGGGTGCAAATCGAAAGTTTGTCCCCGGGTAAAAATTGGAACCCCCCCCTTGAGACGATCCTGGCTACGCCACTGTGTTTAGGTGGTTTTCCTGTGGTTTTAGTGAAATGTTGTTTTTTTCGCAAGTTACTGATCATTAGGAAAATTTTAATAAGAAATACAGTCGACAAAGATGCAGTGTTTCTTCCAGACTTTTTTCTTCAGTGGGTGGGGGGGGGGGGGGGCACTTGAAATTTTTGGGGGGCGATAGACTTTCTTCGGGGGGGGGGGGGCGGACACTGTTAAAATTATATATTTTCTATATAAATTATATAAATTTCATTTCGTTCGGAGAAATTCTGCAAAGATGTCAGATTTAGGTTTGGGCTTTTGGTTGTGATTAGGATTGAGGTTAGACTTGGGGTTGGGTTAGATTTGGGGGTTAGGGTTGGAGTTAGGGTTGCGTTCAGTGTTTCTTCCAGACTTTTTTCTCCGGGGGACGGGTTACTTGATATTTTAGGAGGGCGGGGGGGGGGGGGGGGCGACATTGATAATAGTATGTTTTCTACATAAATTCCATTTTGTTTAGGGGGGAGGGGCGGTAGACTTTCTTTGCCCACCCCCCCTCCCCCCATCGAAGAGATGCCTGGAAGAAACGCTGGTTGGGTTAGGCTTACCCTTCAGTTTCAAGATGCCCAAGTCATTCCAGTTTCCTTGACGCCACTCTTAGAGAGAAAATAGAAGGTTGAAATAGTCTGACTACTTTCTAGTAATTCGTCAATAAACCGGGAGTGATCTCCCCTAAACTTTCTCGAATATTCTTATATAACAACGGGGGAAGGCAACTCGAGATATAGACAATATATTGAATCCATTTTTAATTACTTAAACTTTTAAAAATAGAATAGAATCTCATAGAAAAACGAACTGCGCACCAAGTGAACGCCGAACAAAATGTGTATAATAGTGCAGAGTATTATTAGTACGTTATAAATTCACATGCGTGTTTTGAGAAATCGGAAATTACTACTTCTGGTAAACGGAAATTACTCAAAATTTGATGGAAGGTAGAGAATTAGATCTTTTACTTACATGTAAAATTTCATTTATCTATCTGAAATAGTACTCAAGTTATAGGCTTTAGAAAGTACAAAAAGTTCCACTTCCGGTTATCAGAAATCGCTGAAAAGTTAAAATAGATCTACACATTTGATATCTAATATATAAAGCTCAATTCTGTATGTAAAAAACATATGTTTATCGTTGACATACTTCGATGGATTAAAGTGTTAGACTATTATCGTGCGCATTTGTCTAAATTTATGAGTTAAAAAATACTATTGAAAGTGTTGGGAAATAATTTTCATTTTTCAAACTGATAGTAATAATTGTCGGCATGTTCATTAAACACAATTTTTAAAAAATAACAAAAATTCTAATTATGTCTGAAAATTATTTATATTTAGTCCTTTAGCACTTACTTCCCTTTGATAAATTAGGAAAACACGATTACTTCCCTTTATAAAACATTGCATTAGTGGAAAAGAATTTACTTTTTATTACTTTGTTTTGGTGTTGGGGAAAAAAATAATTACATAATTAGCGGGGATTGATCAAATGCAAATGTTGTAGGTATTTTACGAATAAGCTTGGAGTATTATAATTGTTCATTTGGTTTGGTTTGGCAACTACGTTCGTTTAAGTGAGTGCAAAAAGACTATGAATTAGTTGGGGTACTATAGTCGATTATTAAGCTTTTTTCGTTTTCGTTTGTTTTTTTCTTTGGGTTTGTGTTTTTATTTGTGTTTGGTTTTGCGTTTGGATCTGGTTTGTTTTCGTTTGCTTTTTCGTTTGTGTTTTTTTCTTTGGGTTTGTGCAGAGGCGTATCCAGGTTTTCGTTGTAGGGGGAGCGGAAAAAGCAAAAAAAGGCGCCGAATTTGAAATATTTTCTATATAAGTATATATATATATATATATATATATATATATATATATATATATATATATATATATATATATATATATATATATATATATATATATATATATATATATATATATATATTAGCTGTATGTTATTGCTTCGATGTGATGTAAAATAAATTTGAATTAGCACTCTGAAGAAATAAAAAAAAACACACAATGTATGCCGACGAATAAAAAAAATATGGTATCACTCTAAACAATATATATATATATATATATATATATATATATATATATATATATATATATATATATATATATATATATATATATATATATATATATATATATATATATATAAACCAAAAACAATGAACGCGGCATAATCTGTTTCGTAATTCTTGTAACGAAAATTACATAATAATTCTTGGGACATCTATTAAGACTAGCGAAAAGGTGAAATAATCAATATCGTAATATAAATATGTATATGTCTACACATTTTATTATAAATATCAAAACAAATAAATTATTACTGTTGAATCTAATGAAGTAATTTAACACTATTCGTTTTTACAAAAATATTTTGTCTACAGTCAGAATTAAATATACTGTCATTATAAATGCTAAACTATTATAGCATAATGAAAGTTTTTTTAAATCGGAGTTGGTATAAAAGCCAGCTTTTCAATATAAAAGTAAAGCTTTCGGAATGATAGCCTACATATAACTAAAATATCGGTCTTTCATTTCAGATTATGCACTTTTTAATTAGCTACGGATTTGTTGTGTTCTTTAAAGATAATTTTTTAACATAATGAGAAGGTATGGTTTAGATCACTGTACTGCTCACACACCTTTTACTGGTAATTGAAAAAAACAATATTCATAGAGATTTACGTTTCAAATGTGCCGACCAAAGATAATTTTTTAACAAATATCAATGTTTAAAACTTTGAGTTAAAAAGGTTTCTAAAAAGGCGCCACTTTGCTAAAAATGGCCAGAGGGGGAGCGGCCGCTCCCCCTGCTCCCCCCTGCGTACGCTACTGGGTTTGTGTTTGTGTTTGTGGTTGGTTTTGCGTTTGGATTTGGTTTGTTTTCGTTTGCTTTTTCGTTTTTTTTTCTTTGTGTTTATATTGGTGTTTGTGGTTGTGGTTGGGTTTGTTGTTAGGTTTTTGTTTTCGTTTGTATTTGTAATTGTGTTAGCGTTATGTTTGCGTTTTGTTGTTTTGGTTTTGGTGGGCAGTGCCGGGTTTATGATGATTACTAAACACACAGGTAATGTTCTTTAACAGAAAGGTTTTTCACAGAAGCCAGAGCAGGGCCTGGCCGGCTAGTAATACTTATATATGAAATTTCATCAACCTAGTTGTTACGGTACTCAAGTTATCGTGTTTACACCCTCACACACACATACGGACAGGATTGCAAAACTATGTTTTTCCGACTCCGACATTTTTTTTTCACGATTACAATACTTTCTCTATACTTGATATACGTTAAAGTAAAAAAAAAAGAGACATTAACGTAGCTTATGTACCCACTACCAGACTGAAATGTTTCAGTGGCCTTGGATAAAAAGGGGCGGGGTGAGCACTTGAAAGGAAAAACCCATCGCAGTCCTCCAGAAACATAGAGACCAATCTACTCTGTGATGACATTTTCTGTGTGAATTACAAGATTTGCCACAAACCCACAAACTACGAACAAACAAACAGGCCTTGCAAACTGAATAAAAGCTTGTAAAAATATTTATAGCAACAAGTTTTTAAATGCACCAAAAATAAGAAAATAAAACTAATTTACTTTCTTTCATAAAAGCTTTATTCCACCATTTTAGTTCTATGTTTTTACTATGCAATTGCTTTTTAGCGCAATTTCCATACGGACAATTGCGATTATTAACTCGTCAAGGATGTGTGTCCGATGTGTGTCCGCAGCTTTAAGTCGTATCTCCTCCTCAACGAAGCAATATCGAGGACTAGTTCCAAAAGCAAATATCTTAAGCAAGTTCCGAGGATGATTGTGGGCCAAAAAAATTCCCGGAATTCCTTCCTGGATTTCCCGGAAAAGCCAAAAAACCTCGAAAAAAATGCATAATTTTGGCCCATATCTCGGCAACCAGACCACTTAGCGACTTGAAACATTTACCAATCGATTCCTGCCATAATTTAGAACAATATTGCCGAAGAAAGTTTTCAAAAATATCCTTTCGTTCGGTCACAAATTTTTTTTTTTAAATTACATGTACACCTACAAACCGATCGTTCTCCTAGCTTGAACGCACCCCAGCATTATACGTCTATCTATTTTTTAAATGCTTATATTACGTTGTTATTTTATTTGTTTATTTTAAAACCGCCAATGTGAAAAAAAGGCTTCAGTGCCTACTATTGTTACCGTTATTGAATAAATTAAATTAAATTGACATCTTTTATATATTTTGGAGACCGATACTTTTATGAAGGAAACAAAATTTTTATTTATCTTTATTTTCTTATTTTCAGTGCATTTAAAAGCTTGTTGCTATAAAGGTTTTTAATATTTGCTTTTTTACAAACTTTTTATTCAACTTGTTTCCATTTATTTCCTCCTTTTTAGTGCATAAATAAATAAAAGTTTGTTTTTAAAACGTCTTTAATTTTTAAAATTGTAATAGTACCATGTCGTATTTATGATCATTACAAAATGAGCTCTCTACAAAATATCAAGTGAAAAACTTTTACATTTGGGCCACGCGGGCGAAAACACTTTTTTTTTTGGCCACTTTGAAATACCTAATTCTCTAAACCTTCATTGAACAGCAATTTATCGAAGTGATTCATTGATCTAGCACTGACTGACCTTGACTAGTGACCAAAGCTGACCATCTGATGATAGCCTCCCTCTCTGGGGCCTCCAGGTCAGGTAGAGACAGGTAATGTTTCTTGCTGATCTCAAACGGGCGGCGCCTAGGCAGTTTTTGTTAGTCATGAGGTTGTGGTAATAGTGATGGCCAGTGTTTGTGATGGCCAATGTTTGTGATGGCCAGTGTTTGTGATGGCCAATGTTTGTGATGGCCAATGTTTGTGATGGCCAGTGTTTGTGATGGCCAATGTTTGTGATGGCCAATGTTTGTGATGGCCAATGTTTGTGATGGCCAATGTTTGTGATGGCCAATGTTTGTGATGGCCCATGTTTGAGATGGCCAGTGTTTGTGATGGCCAATGTTTGTGATGGCCAATGTTTGTGATGGCCAATGTTTGTGATGGCCAATGTTTGTGATGGCCAGTGTTTGTGATGGCCAATGTTTGTGATGGCCAGTGTTTGAGATGGCCAGTGTTTGTGATGGCCAGTGTTTGTGATGGCCCATGTTTGTGATGGCCAATGTTTGTGATGGCCCATGTTTGTGATGGCCAATGTTTGTGATGGCCCATGTTTGTGAAGAAACTTACCTAGCCCATTCTTGCGGCCATGTAAACTCCTGACAACAAGGCAACCTGAATCTTTGTGCGAGGTACACACGAATCTGTTGTCATGAATTGTAACAATATACAGGCACAGATAGTACAACGTGCTAACTATAGAGAAAAAAAGTCTACATTCAACTGTATTATTAACATAAACATCGTTACTTTAAAGTCTGCAGTAAAGTTTATACAAATACATACATACATATATATATATATATATGTATATATATATATATATATATATATATATATATATATATATATATATATATATATATATATATATAATATACTTTGTTTTGTTGGCAGGGTGGGGGGTTGACACCCGACCTAGTAACGCCACAGTATATGGGGAATAGTCAATATACAATCACTAGTCAATATATAGGTACTACATATGAATATATAAACCACCTTTTTCTGACTAGATTACAAATTTGTCTTACCTTAAACCACCTTTCTCTGACTAGATCACAAATTTGTCTTACCTTAAACCACCTTTTTCTGACTAGATTACAAATTTGTCTTACCTTAAACCACCTTTCTCTGACCAGATCACAAATTTGTCTTACCTTAAACCACCTTTCTCTGACCAGATCACAAATTTGTCTTACCTTAAACCACCTTTCTCTGACCAGATCACAAATTTGTCTTACCTTAAACCACCTTTCTCTGACCAGATCACAAATTTGTCTTACCTTAAACCACCTTTCTCTGACCAGATCACAAATTTGTCTTACCTTAAACCACCTTTCTCTGACCAGATCACAAATTTGTCTTACCTTAAACCACCTTTCTCTGACTAGATCACAAATTTGTCTTACCTTAAACCACCTTTCTCTGACTAGATCACAAATTTGTCTTACCTTAAACCACCTTTCTCTGACTAGATCACAAATTTGTCTTACCTTAAACCACCTTTCTCTGACCAGATCACAAATTTGTCTTACCTTAAACCACCTTTCTCTGACCAGATTACAAATTTGTCTTACCTTAAACCACCTTTCTCTGACTAGATCACAAATTTGTCTTACCTTAAACCACCTTTCTCTGACCAGATTACAAATTTGTCTTACCTTAAACCACCTTTCTCTGACTAGATCACAAATTTGTCTTACCTTAAACCACCTTTCTCTGACCAGATCACAAATTTGTCTTACCTTAAACCACCTTTCTCTGACCAGATTACAAATTTGTCTTACCTTAAACCACCTTTCTCTGACTAGATCACAAATTTGTCTTACCTTAAACCACCTTTCTCTGACCAGATTACAAATTTGTCTTACCTTAAACCACCTTTCTCTGACTAGATCACAAATTTGTCTTACCTTAAACCACCTTTCTCTGACCAGATCACAAATTTGTCTTACCTTAAACCACCTTTCTCTGACCAGATTACAAATTTGTCTTACCTTAAACCACCTTTCTCTGACTAGATCACAAATTTGTCTTACCTTAAACCACCTTTCTCTGACCAGATCACAAATTTGTCTTACCTTAAACCACCTTTCTCTGACTAGATCACAAATTTGTCTTACCTTAAACCACCTTTCTCTGACCAGATCACAAATTTGTCTTACCTTAAACCACCTTTCTCTGACTAGATCACAAATTTGTCTTACCTTAAACCACCTTTCTCTGACCAGATTACAAATTTGTCTTACCTTAAACCACCTTTCTCTGACTAGATCACAAATTTGTCTTACCTTAAACCACCTTTCTCTGACCAGATCACAAATTTGTCTTACCTTAAACCACCTTTCTCTGACCAGATTACAAATTTGTCTTACCTTAAACCACCTTTCTCTGACTAGATCACAAATTTGTCTTACCTTAAACCACCTTTCTCTGACCAGATCACAAATTTGTCTTACCTTAAACCACCTTTCTCTGACCAGATCACAAATTTGTCTTACCTTAAACCACCTTTCTCTGACCAGATTACAAATTTGTCTTACCTTAAACCACCTTTCTCTGACTAGATCACAAATTTGTCTTACCTTAAACCACCTTTCTCTGACCAGATCACAAATTTGTCTTACCTTAAACCACCTTTCTCTGACTAGATCACAAATTTGTCTTACCTTAAACCACCTTTCTCTGACCAGATCACAAATTTGTCTTACCTTAAACCACCTTTCTCTGACCAGATTACAAATTTGTCTTACCTTAAACCACCTTTCTCTGACTAGATCACAAATTTGTCTTACCTTAAACCACCTTTCTCTGACCAGATCACAAATTTGTCTTACCTTAAACCACCTTTCTCTGACTAGATCACAAATTTGTCTTACCTTAAACCACCTTTCTCTGACCAGATCACATGGCCACACGGGTGTGAACGTTGTGGCCCGAATGATTTCCGGTTCTGACAAATATTCCGTCTCGTGCAGCTCCGTCAGACAGGAGAACCGGTAGCGAGACATCTGGGGGGGGGGGGGGGGGGTAAATCAGTCGAGATGAGAGGTTTGTTAGAGAACTAGATAAGTGCCTACCACTGGGGAACTAGATAAGTGCCTACCACTGGGGAACTAGATAAGTGCCTACCACTGGGGAACTAGATAAGTGCCTACCACTGGGGAACTAGATAAGTGCCTACCACTGGGGAACTAGATAAGTGCCTACCACTGGGGAACTAGATAAGTGCCTACCACTGGGGAACTAGATAAGTGCCTACCACTGGGGAACTAGATAAGTGCCTACCACTGGGGAACTAGATAAGTGCCTACCACTGGGGAACTAGATAAGTGCCTACCACTGGGGAAGTACGAACCACTTGGGTTCCTAAATACGGCTGACCCAACGTTTTCGGACATTTTTCTCCGGGGTGGAGCATTTTTTATAACGCCCTACCCACCCCAACTCAGAACAGATGCCTGAAAGAGGTCCCAAGGCTGCTACCCTATCAGTCCGTCCCTTAATCAGCCACTAGTTTCGTTATGTAGAGGAGTCACGTGATCTTTTTCCTGGCCATGTTGTCAACTATGAACTATAAGTGTATTTGCCTATGTGTATATATATATATATATATATATATATATATATATATATATATATATATATATATATAATATAACGCTGCTGGTAGTGTGTCAGTCCTTCCTTCCTTCCTTCCGTCATCGCTATAGATTTTGGGACTATAAAAGTAAACATTCACACCATGCTGTGCTTTTCAGTGCACCGCAGTGTCTTATTATAAGTAATAGAGTAGGGTTTGTTTATATAGCGGCATAGAGCTATTTTAAAATTGCCACGGTTTTTACTCTTTCGCATAACGTCAAGAAAATATTAAATACACGCAAACTGCTAAAACGTATTAAAAAGATTAATGTCAAATATCATTTTCGTTTAGGCTCCCAGAAAAAGTGGATACATTTTAATAACATAATAACAGTAGGGAAGAAAAATAAAATTAATTTAACTCTTTTCTAATTTTGACAAAGGAGGTAATTTAAAAATACATTAAACTCACGCTAATAAAAAATGTGAATGCAAATATACGTTCGTCATAGAAGGAATTAGTGTTGCAATAACATAATTAGCAAAATGTGAATGCAAATTATTCGGATGTGTAAGAGGAAATTATTGTTAGAAAATTATAATTAGCATGGATTGATAAAAGGCAATCTTTTATTTATTTTATTCACTGAATGTAGGCCCTACTGTTTATTACTTATAATTTTTAATCAACTATTCAGCACTATTATAGGCGCGTCATCACGTTCATTAGGTGCGCAATGGTTTTAGTTATGAAACTCAATTGTAAATTTTTAAAATTTAAAGTACTGGAAAAAAAATGCGTTAATGGATAAAGTGAAATAGTGTAGGTAAAACACGGATATTTTAAATACTGCCTATTATTTATACTGTTTTCTAATTATTATTCTGTCGGTTTGCGGACAAGCTAGGGGTTTTATAGGAGAGGCGTTGCGATGGGGGGGGGGGGGCATATGTCCCCGGGTGCCGACCTTAGGGGGCGCCAAAGTGGGTTTGAAAAAATTTGCGAGGGGGGTGGAAATCGAAAGTTTTAGGGCGGGGGGGGGGGGGGAAGGGGTGCAAATCGAAAGTTTGAGGGGGGTGCAAATCACTGGAAAGGGCGCGATTTGGCGCTACGGGCTAGACTGTGAGCAATATGCCTTTATGTTTGCATTTAAATTGTGTTTATGTTATGAGTGTTGTGTTTGTTTTTTCGTTTTTTTTTGTTTGTTTTTTTTGCGTTCGTTTATGTTGTGTTTAGTTTTGTTCTGTTCCCAACTTGGTACATTTAAAAAAGATTTACCGTGTGTTGTGGTTGTGGTTGTTTTGTGGTTGTGTTGTGGTTGTGTTGTGGTTGTGTTGTGGTTGTTTTGTGGTTGTGTTGTGGGTGTTTTGTGGTTGTGTTGTGGTTGTGGTTGTGTTGTGGTTGTGTTGTGATTGTGTTGTGGTTGTAATGTGGTTGTGTTGTGGTTGTGGTTGTGTTTTGTTTGTGTTTGTGATGTGTTTTTGTTTGTTTTGTTCTGTTCCAAAGTTGGTATATTTTAAAAAGATTTACCGTGGCGGAGCACGGGATGCAGCTAGTATATATATATATATATATATATATATATATATATATATATATATATATATATATATGTGTGTGTGTGTGTGTGTGTGTGTGTGTATTGTGTTTTTATTGTGTGGTATAATGTGTGTTTTGGGGTGCTTTGGTTCGTGTTTGCATTTGCAGTGTGGTTTCATCATCATTTCCATTTTGTGTCCAAGAACCATGGGAAAGTGTTGGGGTGGGGGGGGGGTTAAATCTACACAAAGCAAACACAAAGATACATGGAGGCAGACACAAAGATACATGGAGGCAGACACAAAGATACATGGAGGCAGACACAAAGATACATGGAGGCAGACACAAAGATACATGGAGGCAGACACAAAGATACATGGAGGCAGACACAAAGATACATGGAGGCAGACACAAAGATACATGGAGGCAGACACAAAGTTACATGGAGGCAGACAAAAAGATACATGGAGGCAGACACAAAGATACATGGAGGCAGACACAAAGATACATGGAGGCAGACACAAAGATACATGGAGGCAGACACAAAGATACATGGAGGCAGACACAAAGATACATGGAGGCAGACACAAAGATACATGGAGGCAGACACAAAGATACATGGAGGCAGACACAAAGATACATGGAGGCAGACACAAAGATACTGACCACTGTTGAGAGGAAGTCGTCATGACGTCCAGCTAAGCGGTGTAACAGCTGGTCAGACAGCTGGTCAGCGTGCTGTCCACATGTGCTGTCCTCGAGTTGCCGGAAGTCTGGCTCGCCCAGGTGACTGACGGAGAGACTACCTGTTGATGATCTCTCGTCAGACGTCAGCGTGCTCTCAGCTGATTCCCACACTCTGAGCTCAAGGTCAGCCATTTAGCTAGCAGATCTGTCGTCCAAGCGACAGCAACTCTTGAAGCTTCCAACTAAAACTATTTGAACATCAAAACTTGTCAATGGCAAAAATGTATTTTTTACTGTCATCTTTAAAATAGTATGTTCTATAATTAAATGAAGGGGCGATTACCTTTTGAAACAAATTCAAACGATACATCAGCTGAGCGGATAATTGACTGTGCGATCGGTGTTAGTTTAAGTTGAGTTGTTTTGTTTTTTTATATATAAAAAATAAAGCCTTATTCAAATTTATTATAGATCTAGATCTAGTAAAATAAAATAATAATTAATATAATGTTAATGTTTTAAATAATTTGTAATCGTAATCACTATAGCACAAACTGTGATGATACTACTACTTCAAAATTTCCCCACCACTACGCAGTTCGCCCATAAGTAAATTTAAATAGAGGTGCCACATTAGTTGTATTTGTGTCTGTATTGTAATTTTTTTTAAAATAATTACACGATTCAAACTGCATATTTAAAGTAATTATTTGTGAAGATTTATGTATGATATTTTCTTACTCAATTATTCTTAAGCAAATACATTATACAGTTGCCTTAAATTTAACACCCTTCTTGTCAAGTGGTACTACCTGTAAAGGTTTTTTAAACATTGCAATGCATCGTAATGGTTATTTTTAGAATGACAACCTGATACAGCTGTTAATACGTGTTGTAAACGTAGACTCTACTAGTGTGGTACTATTATGCTTAATTGACGCATGAAAATAAATCTTGTGATTTACATAGATGTGCCAACCAAAAGTAATTTTTTAACAAATATCATTGCTTAAAACTTTGAGTTTAAGAAGTTTCCAAAAAGGCGCCACTTTGCTGAAAATGGCCCGAGGGGGAGTGGCCGCTCCCCCTGTTCCTCCCCCCCCCCCCCCCCACCCCTATGTACGCTACTGGTTCTTAACACCTTTATGCCTGAATTATGTTCCAAGCGTATAAAAATTATTTGTGCTGATTTTCTCTCATCATACTGACACTGAATTTGAGGTATATTGCTGTTATTGAATTTGGACTTATTTTTTATACTAATTACGGTATGTCGCGGAAACGCGACAGCAGGCACTTATGGACCAAACAGTAATTTAATTAATTTTTTTAGTCCGGGTCATTTTACAATTTTTACTGACACATATTTCTCTAAATATCCACGCACAAACAATAGAATATCACAAACTAAACACACGGACATGCAGACTCACTTGTAAAATTCATGAAAACTATAGTTTACTAGGCATGCTGCCCAGCTTCGCTTAGGCTTTCAAAAACATTGAGAATTTGAATGTTTAATTAATTCGCCCGAGGGTCGGTCTACGACCTCCGGAGTTATGAAGAGGTTCCTATGTGGACATTTTTTTTCGATGTATAGCTCATATAAGGCGCCGGTCAGTCGAGGTCAGTTTTGACCCCCACATCGTAGACTTTTCGGCCAACCGGCCCCCTTGTTCTGTCGCCCCAAGGCAAGATCCTGCTAAATTTGGGGCGCCGGTAAGTGCCCTGTCGGGCACCCGACAACTTTGCTTTATATATTATAGAGATTAGCAAATTGCATAGATAAACAAAGATTTCAATAAAGTAATTAAGGCCTGAAATACTTTAGTAAAGAAATGTATTATTTGAATAGATTCTAGATCTAGGTAGGGTCTACATCTGTGTAAGTCTAGTTTTTCCGTAGATCTAAAATCTCTAGATCTAGATGATCTAGAATCTCTAGATCTAGATGATCTAGAATATCTAGATCTAGAATATCTAGATCTAGATATTCTAGATCTAGAATATCTAGATCTAGATATTCTAGATCTAGAATATCTAGATCTAGAATCCTAATAGAATTTTTTTCTAACCTTTAGCCCCAGCAAAATTGTATTGTATAAATTTTATAGCGTACGTAGATCTAAATAATATTTGAATGAAATAGTTCATTTCTTTTTATTCTAAACACGACAGATGACGTCATTAGTTAATGTATAAACATTAGTGACATCACAGTTTTATGCGTTCTTTTTCACAACTATAAACGCTTTTCCTGTTGCATAATTATAACTGTTTTTTCTACATTCGAATACGCCTTTATTTTTTTATTTTTCTTCTTTAAATAAAATGTTGGTTATACATTTAAAACATCTACCATATTATATTCAACAAAAGTCCGTATCAAGTTCTTCATATATCGCTGCAGATTCTGACGTGATATCCGGCGAAAATATTTTGCGGACAGAGAGAGAGAGAGAGAGAGAGAGAGAGAGAGAGAGAGAGAGAAGTGCGCACGTGGGCTATTATATGTTAGGATTAGCTAAGACAGAGTTACATAATTCTGATGCACCTGCTGACTAACTCTTATGAGTGAGTATTTTGAAGCCTTGCTGTCGTGATTCCACTACACTACAGTAACACACTACATATGAAAGGACTTTCTTAAATTTGTCTTAGTTGTCCGGTTACGTCATTTTCGTGACCTCCTATTCAAGGTCAACTAATAAAGACGCATATTTCTCATTTGACCTATATTTGCTATACTCTCAAAGCACGTGAACAAATACTGTCCTAAATGACAGTGTTCAGCCGTTGTATATTCTTACATGCTGCTGTGGGTACCCAGTACCACCGGTGTGGGTACTCACTGCTATTGTTGATGGTACCGTATGTTTCCGACTTCGGTTCTTCGTGCTAAGGCTGTTGTGCTTGAATGATTCTGCTATTCATTACCAATGACAGTGCTGTAGCTACATATTGCTACTGGTATGGGTACTCAGTGCTGAAACAGCGGGTACTGAGTGTTGAAGCCATGTGTAGTGAGTGTTACTGTAGTTGGTTCTTGGTGTCACTGCTGTGGGTACTCAGTGTTACTGTAGTTGGTTCTTGGTGTCACTGCTGTGGGTACTGTAGTTGGTTCTTGGTGTCACTGCTGTGGGTACTCAGTGTTACTGTAGTTGGTTCTTGGTGTCACTGCTGTGGGTACTGTAGTTGGTTCTTGGTGTCACTGCTGTGGGTACTCAGTGTTACTGTAGTTGGTTCTTGGTGTCACTGCTGTGGGTACTCAGTGTTACTGTAGTTGGTTCTTGGTGTCACTGCTGTGGGTACTGTAGTTGGTTCTTGGTGTCACTGCTGTGGGTACTGTAGTTGGTTCTTGGTGTCACTGCTGTGGGTACTCAGTGTTACTGTAGTTGGTTCTTGGTGTAACTGCTGTGGGTACTCAGTGTTACTGTAGTTGGTTCTTGGTGTCACTGCTGTGGGTACTGTAGTTGGTTCTTGGTGTCACTGCTGTGGGTACTGTAGTTGGTTCTTGGTGTCACTGCTGTGGGTACTCAGTGTTACTGTAGTTGGTTCTTGGTGTAACTGCTGTGGGTACTCAGTGTTACTGTAGTTGGTTCTTGGTGTCACTGCTGTGGGTACTCAGTGTTACTGTAGTTGGTTCTTGGTGTCACTGCTGTGGGTACTCAGTGTTACTGTAGTCAGTTCTTGGTGTCACTGCTGTGGGTACTCAGTGTTACTGTAGTCAGTTCTTGGTGTCACTGCTGTGGGTACTCAGTGTTACTGTAGTTGGTTCTTGGTGTCACTGCTGTGGGTACTGTAGTTGGTTCTTGGTGTCACTGCTGTGTGTACTCAGTGTTACTGTAGTTGGTTCTTGGTGTCACTGCTGTGGGTACTCAGTGTTACTGTAGTTGGTTCTTGGTGTCACTGCTGTGGGTACTGTAGTTGGTTCTTGGTGTCACTGCTGTGGGTACTCAGTGTTACTGTAGTTGGTTCTTGGTGTCACTGCTGTGGGTACTCAGTGTTACTGTAGTTGGTTCTTGGTGTAACTGCTGTGGGTACTCAGTGTTACTGTAGTTGGTTCTTGGTGTCACTGCTGTGGGTACTCAGTGTTACTGTAGTTGGTTCTTGGTGTCACTGCTGTGGGTACTCAGTGTTACTGTAGTCAGTTCTTGGTGTCACTGCTGTGGGTACTGTAGTTGGTTCTTGGTGTCACTGCTGTGTGTACTCAGTGTTACTGTAGTTGGTTCTTGGTGTCACTGCTGTGGGTACTGTAGTTGGTTGTTGGTGTCACTGCTGTGGGTACTGTAGTTGGTTCTTGGTGTCACTGCTGTGGGTACTCAGTGTTACTGTAGTTGGTTCTTGGTGTCACTGCTGTGGGTACTCAGTGTTACTGTAGTCAGTTCTTGGTGTCACTGCTGTGGGTACTGTAGTTGGTTCTTGGTGTCACTGCTGTGTGTACTCAGTGTTACTGTAGTTGGTTCTTGGTGTCACTGCTGTGGGTACTCAGTGTTACTGTAGTTGGTTCTTGGTGTCACTGCTGTGGGTACTGTAGTTGGTTCTTGGTGTCACTGCTGTGTGTACTCAGTGTTACTGTAGTTGGTTCTTGGTGTCACTGCTGTGGGTACTCAGTGTTACTGTAGTTGGTTCTTGGTGTCACTGCTGTGGGTACTGTAGTTGGTTCTTGGTGTCACTGCTGTGGGTACTCAGTGTTACTGTAGTTGGTTCTTGGTGTCACTGCTGTGGGTACTCAGTGTTACTGTAGTTGGTTCTTGGTGTCACTGCTGTGGGTACTCAGTGTTACTGTAGTTGGTTCTTGGTGTCACTGCTGTGGGTACTCAGTGTTACTGTAGTTGGTTCTTGGTGTCACTGCTGTGGGTACTCAGTGTTACTGTAGTTGGTTCTTGGTGTCACTGCTGTGGGTACTCAGCGCTGGTGCTGTTTTATAATCGATAACATTGATGAATAACACTGCTGTCGGTACTAAATGCCAGTATAATGCCACTGATGCGGGTATTTAATATCACTGTAAAGGGTATTTTGTCAGTATTTAACCTTGCTGTTTTTATTACGAGGTGTAGGTCTAAGCTCAGTGTTATTATTGTCAAGGTCACTGTGAAGACCTTTCTTTGGTGGTATCCAGGATAGTGGTCCACCACCTCACTTCCTGTTGTCCATTTATTTTTATGTTCTCCTAATATTTTACAAAGCTATTTCAAAGCTAGATACGTTATGGTACCCAGCAACATGATCACATTATTCCAGC